AAGAAGAACAAACCTATCCATTCTTAAGGAAATCAGCCCTGAGTGCTCACTTGAAGGACAGATCGTGAAGTGGAGGCTCCAATACTTTGGCCACCTCATGAGAAGAGAAGACTCCCTGGAAAAGACCCTGATGTTGGGAAAGATGGAGGGCACAGAGAGAAGGGGATGACAGAGGACGAGATGGTTGGACAGTGTTCTCGAAGCTACCAGCATGAGTTTGGCCAAACTGCGGGAGGCAGTGGAAGAAAGAAGTGCCTGGCGTGCTCTGGTTCATGGGGTCATGAAGAGTCGGACACGACTAAACGACTAAACAACAACAAAACACTGGGTCAAAATATTTCAAATCAGGGAGAGGGCTAGACCAGGGTGGCTAACCTGTGCATTTCCATATGTTATTGGATTACAAATCCTATCAGCCCCAAATGGTATGGTCAGTGGTCAGGGATCATGTGAGGTGTAGGTCCAGCAACTTCCAGAGGGTCAAAGGTTAGCCACACCTGGGCTGGATGAAATAGGCATACCATGCTGTGGCATTATTCTGGGATGTATGGCAAAAATTCTAGGCATGGGGGTCCAACCATTTTGGGAAGAAGAAGCAGAGAGTTCCATTTCCTTCTCTTTTTTTATGGACCTTTGCTGCTGTTCCAAGTCGTGATGGAGCTGCAAAATGGCCCATTGGGAATGGTGCTACATACTGATGCCCCCTGGGACACTTTTGGGTGGTTCATGGGATTGTGGGAAACTGTAGCAAACTTAGTGTTTAGGCTGAAGAAAAAGTCACACAGCTATTTGAGGAAAACAATAGGTGTTTTATTGCAAGCAATAAAAGACTCAGTGGGATTTCTTTTCCAAAAGCTGAGGCCCACCTTGAGCGAGAGGGGCTTCTAATATACAATTCTAAGGCAATGCATATGAAAAAGCTGAGATAAAATCCCGCCAATCAAAGGTTGCTAGGTAAAGGTACCCCTGAGCATTAGGTCCAGTGTTGGTGGACTCTGGGGTTGTGGCTCCCTCATCTATAGGCTGAGGGAGCCAGCATTTGTTCGCAGACAGCTTCCGGGTCATGTGGCCAGCATGACTAAGCCCCTTACTGCTAGGTGGGCAGGAGCTGGGACTGAACAACGGGAGCTCACCCCATCACGGATACAGTAATACATCAAACATTAAAAGCTTCCCTAAACAGGGCTGCCTTCAGATGTCTTCTAAAATTCTGGTAGTTGTTGTTCTCTTTGACATCTGATGGGAGGACGTTCCACCAGGTGGGCGCCACTACTGAGAAGGCCCTCTGCCTGGTTCCCTGTAGCTTGGCTTCTCGCAATGAGGGAACCGTCAGAAGGCCCTCGGCGCTGGACCTCAGCATCCAGGCAGAATGATGGGGGTGGAGACGCTCCTTCAGATATACTCAACCGAGGCCGATTAGGGCTTTAAACCAACACTTTGAATTGTGCTCGGAAACGTACTGGGAGCCAATGTAGGTCTTTCAAGACCGGTGTTATGTGGTCTCGGCGGCCGCCCCCAGTCACCAGTCTAGCTGCCGCATTCTGGATTAATTGTAGTTTCCGAGTCACCTTCAAAGGTAGCCCCACGTAGAGCGCATTGCAGTAGTCCAAGCGGGAGATAACTAGAGCATGCACCACTCTGGCAAGACAGTCCGCGGGCAGGTAGGGTCTCAGCCTGCGTACCAGGTGGAGTTGGTAGACAGCTGCCCTGGATACAGAATTGACCTGCGCCTCCATGGACAGCTGTGAGTCCAAAATGACTCCCAGGCTGCGTACCTGGTCCTTCAGGGGCACAGTTACCCTATTCAGGACCAGGGAGTCCTCCACACCAGCCCGCCCCCTGCCCCCCCAAAACAATACTTCTGTCTTGTCAGGATTCAACTTCAATCCATTAGCCGCCATCCATCCTCCAACCGCCTCCAGGCACTCACACAGGACCTTCACCGCTTATATGTTAAATTCAAAGCAAGATTTTAAATGTTTTATTCTGTCTCCGTATACACACACATTCATGCCACTGTGCAAATGTACCATCATTATTTGAGCTACAATTTCATGTGCCTCTTTTCCCTGGCTATGGAAATGTCTGCCCTTTCATTGCCTGGTCATACAAACAAAAATCTTAACTATTTGTGACTTTTTCAGGTGCAATATTCCTTTACTCTAATTACAATAATTTTACCACAAATCACTTTCCTGCCGCGCTGAATAATAATTCCTCCTATATAACGTATATTTTAAACGCCTCGCATTTTGATGCCACTCCGAAAGCTACATTCATCAAGCGAGTGTTATGCAGATTGCTAAATTGAGCTTAACCTCCTTCCAGCTGAATGAGTTGACATTCTGAGCCACCGCTTTTATACATTACTCACTTTGCTGCCTTTTCATCACCCCCTCAGCACAAAGAAAAAGTAATGGGTAGCACTTTTGTATATTCCACCCAATCATTCAAAGTGTGCCATTCATATAATAAGACTGGGCTCAATCCGCAAGCGCATGTCATGGAATATTCTGAAGATAGCAATTAAAACGTAGAAAATTAAAACACATTTGTAAATTTGACATTTTGCTACAACTGAAGCCCAAAGTACCTTCCTTCCTGAGGGGGCAACATTACTCGCCTACTTTTGTTTCACCCTATCTAATGAGTAAAGGTAAAGGTATAGGTACAGGACCCCTGGACGGTTAAGTCCAGTCGAACTCAACTATGGTGTTGCGGCACTCATCTCCACTTTTAGGCCGAGGGAGCCAGCGTTTGTCCGCAGACAGCTTTTCCGGGTCATGTGGCCGGGATAACTAAACCGCTTCTGGCACACAGGACACCGTGATGAGTGCCAGAGTGCACAGAAACGCTGTTTACCTCCCCACCGCATCCTTTTTGTTGTTGTTTAGTCGTTTAGTCGTGTCTGACTCTTCGTGACCCCATGGACCAGAGCACGCCAGGCACTCCTGTCTTCTACTGCCTCCCACAGTTTGGTCAAACTCATGTTCGTAGCTTCGAGAACACTGTCCAACCATCTCGTCCTCTGTCGTCCCCTTCTCCTTGTGCCATCAGTCTTTCCCAACATCAGGGTCTTTTCCAGGGAGTCTTCTCTTCTCATGAGGTGGCCAAAGTATTGGAGCCTCAGCTTCAGGATCTGTCCTTCCAGTGAGCACTCAGGCCTGATTTCCTTCAGAATGGACAGGTCCATGGGACTCTCAAGAGTCTCCTCCAGCACCATAATTCAAAAACATCAATTCTTCGGCGATCAGCCTTCTTTATGGTCCAGTTCTCGCTTCCATACATCACTACTGGGAAAACCATAGCTTTAACTATACGGACCTTTGTCGGCAAGGTGATATGTCTGCTTTTTAAGATGCTGTCTAGGTTTGTCATCGCTTTTCTCCCAAGAAGCAGGTGTCTTTTAATTTCATGACTGCTATCACCATCTGCAGTGATCATGGAACCCAAGAAAGTAAAATCTCTCACTGCCTCCATTTCTTCCCCTTCCCCCACCGCATTAGGGCCTATTTATCTACTCACGCTGGTATGATTTCAGACTACTAGCTTGGCAGGAGCTGGGACAGAACAATGGGAGCTCACCCCATTGTGTGGACTAGAACTGCCAACCTTACGATCAGCAAGCCCAAGAGGCTCGGTGGTTTAGACCACAGTGCCATCTGCACCGAAGGATGTGCTTGCTATTACATTAATTTCACAAGAAAGTTCCTATCAGCAGAGAACCTGGTCTCCAGCTATCCATTCTCAATGTTACAGTTTTTAGGGAGCATAGCTACCAAGCTCCCACAAGAGTCCATACTGTTTCTCTGCCAGGAAGTTAAGAGGCATTTTTTATTATTTGATAAAACTGTTGCTTCCTAAAATAGACAATATGCAACAAAGTACTTGCCTATAATACCAAAAATAGCAGTTTCGCTCTCTGCAAACTAGGAGGAGGAGGTGCAAATGTCGAAAAGGATAAAGGTTCTTATAAAAATAACTCCAGATTCTTATATGTCAAACTTATGCACATGGAAAGTTCATCACAACCCACATTATAATAATAGAATTTAATATGCCTACCATTGACTTAATAGAAAGATAGAGATCCATCAATACCGATTAGAAAGAGTGTTTTATTTACTTGTTTAATTAACTGTGAAGTTATGTCCTTGTTAATGTGTCTCCTTTTTAAAATTAATCTAATGCTGTCTGATCTGGATAGATTCTGGATCATTATATGTTACCCTGTTTCATTGCCTTGTGCTTCCTAAGATTTTAACTAGTATGAGATTAATTCTTTGGGGAGTTGACAAAGTGGTGGCTCGAAATCCCATTCAAATATCTCCCCCATATACACACACACTTTTGAGTCTGCTGCTCTGTTAATTCAGGAGATGGTGGTAGTGGCAGCTAATTTATTTGGATATTTTAGGGTATTTGGATATTCCCAGTGGTAAAATGGGAGTCGCCCCAAGCCCCATTAAATTGGCTTACCTACCATGGGGGCTTAGCTAAAAGGAGAGAGTTAAGGACTCTGTGAAGAAGCCCAGCATATGTCATAGGTTCCACACATTCACACACATGATTCAGACAGTGTGCGATTATTATTCAAGAGCTCATATATTTCATGGAAACTCACTGGTTCTAGAGATGGACAATTCTGTTCAGTTTCTCTCAGTTTCCTCTTTTTCCAGTCTTTTAGTTCAACACATTTCCACATCGGTTTTCAATTTTTAAAACAACTCATTTTAAAGATTTGTCAGCATTTTAGTGTGCATCTCTCCTAATAAACACATTTTGGTCTGCAATTTTGCCTTACATACACATATTGCATTTCTCTAAATATTTTCCCTTAACATGCACACTTTGAACACATGTTCTCATTGAAGAACTGCATTGTCTAGCTCCCAAAAGTAAAGATTTCAAAGGACAGCCGCATGTTGGTTTGCATAATTAGAATCACAGAACTGCAGAGTTGGAAGGGACCAGGAGGATCACATAGCAATGAATTAATCTTTTGCCCAACTTGGGACTCAAACCCAAAACCCTGAGATTAAGAGTCTCATGTTCTACCAACTGACCTATCCCAAAGTTGTTTTGTTTTTGGAAATGGAGATTAGGTAGTTTACTAAGCTCTTGTTAAAATGAAAACTGAACCAAATTTTGCCTCTATTCCTAATCAGTACAACACACAAGTAAATGGGCCCATGTTGTAGATATACATGCTTTGACAGAACATGACCGTTTGACCTGCATTGGTGATTTTGCTATAGGTAAAAGTAAAGGACCCCTGGATGGTTAAGTCCAGTCAAAGACGGCTATGGGGTTGCGGTGCTCATCTCGCTTTCAGGCCGGGGGAGCCGGTGTTTGTCCACAGACAGCTTTCCGGGTCATGTGGCCAGCAGGATTAAACCGCTTCTGGTGTAAGGGAACACCATGGCGGAAACCAGAGTGCACGGAAACACCATTTACCTTCCCATCAGAGTGGTACCTATTTATCTACTTGCATTGGTGTTCTTTTGAACTGCTAGGTTGGCAGGAGCTGGGACAGAGCAACGGGAGCTCACTCCGTCGCAGGGATTCAAACCGCCGACCTTCCGATCAGCAAACCCAAGAAGCTCAGTGGTTTAGACCACAGTGCCACCTGCGTCCCTTCATACATGCCAAAAGGAACTAATTTCTTGCTTCGACAGAACATGACCATTTGACCTGCATTGGTGATTTTGCTACAGTCAAGAGTGAAAAAAGAACTTTGCAGTAGGTTCACAAGATCCAGCCTGATAGTCTCCAAAACCTTCAAACGGAGAATGTAAGTCAGTATTCTATCATCTCCCTATTTCAGGTGAAAATGCCTGTGTGAACCTGAGAGACCCTGGCCACCTAGTGAGTGGATAATAGTGACAAGATTTTATCTGGAAGCCATTCCCAGTTCACAGCTCAGTCACTTGAAAGCAATTTCATCCCTGCCTAAATGTTAACATATTCAAAGCTTATAAAGGTACTAATTTGCAACTCTGTAAAGCCGGCATTGCATTCGCCTCACCTTTTGACCATACCTCAGATCGTTCTGCTGATCTGCAGGTTAAACAGCAGAGAAGACTAAAACTCAGAAGCATTTAGACTCTACAGGAAAGAGAAGATTCGCTTGGTATCATTTAGAGCACTGATCTTCAACTGGATAAGTTGGGACCCACTGGTCAGCCTGATCCAATGGTGTGCCTCAATTTAAGGCCAAGCAAGAAAGAACAGCATGCATAATGTACACTGAGCTCTGTAAGCAGGATTGTAATTGATGCAGCAAATTATCTTAGGGCCCAACAGCTACATCATATAGAATAACTTCACATACATCACCTCAGTAATACAAGTGGAAGAGCAGTCGACATTGTTATCAACACATTATCAACACCTTACACAGGTAGGACTGAGGCTGAGATGGAATGGCTTGCTTGAAAGATGCATTATCAAAATGTTGGAATCAGGTCTAAATTAGAAATGTGAGGAAAGAAACCAGTGTCAGGATTTACAATCTCCCCCTCTCACACCAAGAGATGGCAGGCTGGCAGTTTTATAATGTTCAGATTTATTGGTATTTACACAGTAGCTCAATGCTAGCACACAGTTCAGCCTTCTGCGCTCGATGGGTCAGTTGAGCCCTCTGGAGGGTGGGCTCTTTTCCAACAGGAAATATGTCATTGGCTCCTCCTCCTTTTGTGGTCTTGATGCCAAGCCTGAACTCTGCCCAACCTCCTAGAAGGGGGGGATTCCGGAGCAGATAGTCTAGTTTGCCCCTCCTTCCCTGAAAGCGAGTCTGAAAACTAAGTCCCCTCTGCCGGCCTCACGATGTCCTGTGAATTTACAACTTGCATTCCAGGACTGGAGAGGCTCGCTTCACTCTCTGCATGTGAAGAAAACAAACCTCCATCTCTTTCTGCCTGCCCCTCCCCTTGGTCCTTGGAGCCCCCGCTGTCACTCTGGGAAGGAACGTTCCTGACAATCAGTAAGTGTGACCACTTGCAGTGCCCTGGTGAATTCTAATTATTTGTCAAGTCCCAATCAATGTACAGAAGACTGTACAACGGCACAGACTGTTAAGTTGTGGGCGAACATATCAGACGACACAGCGATTCTTCAAACAGCTCTTGTTTATTCACAGGCCAGAACAGAACTGAACTGAAGGGTTCAGTCAGCCTGCTTATATAGAGCTCCAGTACAACGTTACTGTAACAACTTTCTAAAACTATCCAATCACTGAACGTCGCTTTCGATCCCTTATTTGCATAACTATCTACAGTATCCCCCTGCTGGCCCAGGGTGAGAACTTCAGTACATAACACAGACTACTTTGTATTACACAAATGCATGTGTAGTCTGAGAGAAAGCTCATTATTTCATCCATGGGTTCCTTCTTGTAATGGTGGCCAACCAGATGGCAAATGGACTATAAGCAAATAACGTAACAAATACAAATAACTTTCATGTCAATTTTTGTTCTCTCTCTCTCTCTCTCAGCAATGCCTAAGCAACCCTGCCCATTCTTCTAGTCTGAGTACTATTTCAGAGGAATGGACATGGCAATTTCAAATTATGCTTCTAAATCCTGGAGCCCCCAACAGACTGTGAATATCTGCGAAATGGAAGAGGGCCATGGAAAAATACAGAGAAAGAAAGAGATTTGCAGGTTGTCATGAGCACATTCATCAGGGTGCAGATAAGTAAGGATGACAAGAAGGATGGTGAGACAGATTGCTAGTGGTGAGAAATATTAATCAAACAGGACAGCATGGATTCTGTAAGTAATAGTTCTCTTAGAGAATGCTGTGCCTGTCCTCTTTCTCTGTTGGACTTTGCTAAGATGAACCATAGTGCATCAAACCAGTGGCTCTTTGCTGTAGAATCTTCTCTCTGACAGAGTCCTCAAGGTTTATTGGGAGAGCTGAGCAGACAATAGGGCCTTAGACCCATTGAGAGATTTCTTCCTGCCTTCCCTTTGGTATAAAATTCATATTTAAGCTGATTGTACCCCCAAACTCTCTATCATTCTCTGAAAAATTTGGGTGGGTCATTTTTCCCCCCTCCAGCAGAAAGTCCAGGACTCTTTCCATCACAGGGCATCCAGACTTATCAATTATTATGTTTTTCTGTCCCTTCCTAGTTACAGAACCTTGCACAATTCTGTCCTCTGTTTATGGAATTCCCTTCACTCCTGTTAGCTGTAAATTCTCCGCTTATCTTGTAATCAATTTGTGAGTCTGTCCTGTTTCACCCTCTTACCTTTTCCTTTTGAAGTCAGTTGTTCTCAGTTGTACACTGTCTTGCTCTCCCTTGCCCAGCTGTACCCTTCCCTTATATATAGCCTCTAACATTTATCAGATGAAAATAGGGACATCCTAGTCAATAGAACACTAAGTGATGCATGAGACCAGAAGTATGGCTATGTTCCAACCTGCATATCAGTCTGGGAAATGTGCATCTGATCAGTTCATAACATATTATTTTTGCTTCTTGCTTTGGAGGGAACTGACTCTTCTTAAATAGACTGAAACCGTGGTTAGGTGTCTGCCTTCCCCACTCTATTCAGCTTTTATATTTAATAATAATAATAATATAATAATAATAATACACTCATACAATATTCCTTCCTCTCTAACAATTCAGCGATGTAAAAAGACTGTTTCCCCAATGTTCAGAGAAGTGAGGGGCACGAAACAACATTAACAATGTATTCGTCAGCAGGTAATAGGCTTTTCATTTCTCATTAGTTTAAAGCTTTATTTACATCCCATTAACGGTGAGCTTTATTTACTTCATTTGTTTTAATTGCCTATTTTATCATTCCTTAGGACAAAAATCCCTTCCGAGAACAGCCCAAAATGAGGATATGCAAATAGTGGTGTGCCGTGTGTACTTATTTCACACAGATTCATATATAAATAAATGGTGCGCTAGAGCAGTTCTGCATGGCACAGTGACAGTAATGCCTTCATTATGAAAGTCTAGAATCCTAAAAGCCACACTTACACAAACGCAATTGCTTTTCAAATTCAGCCAGGGCCTTGGATAAATAAAGGGCCACTAGACATAATCTAGCCTGGGTTTAGATTGGATTTGTTTATCTTTATAGCTTGGCAGATGGTAATTCTCTTGGAAACATCATTAATAATTGCCAGAAGTTCTATTTGGAAAGAGACATTTGTGCACAAGGGTTTGCCTTAATGAGGTTCCACTTGAAAATGAGCTAACATCTATTGAGTTGATGCAAAGGACTTTTTAATTAGTCCTCTTGGAGTGTGTTAGGGTGGTGGCATTTTTTAAAAATGTGCTGTTCTTGACCTCACATATAAATGATCAAATGATGTACACGTTCAAGGAAAAGGTTATTTCTTCCCCATCAATATGACTTAGTTGTAGTGCAGACCTGCCCATCTGCCATAAGCAGGGCAAATACTCTATGCTGCAGAATCCTAGGATAGTCATCATTGATACTCTGTTCACTGGACAGTTGTCTGGGATCCCCACAAGCACATTTTGCCTCTTTTTGCATGGCCAAATTCTGTAATAGGAACAAAGAAATATTGTCTCATACCAAGTCCCATCTAGCTCAGAATTGTCAACATGGCGGTAGCTCTCCGGGATTCTGTGGGAATGTTTAGGATAGTAGGAGAGGATATATTGATTAAATATTATCCTTCCTCACTCATGCTAGTGAGTTAGTAGCAGAGCACATTCCCTTGTACAGTGGTACCTCAGGTTAAGTACTTAATTCGTTCCGGAGGTCTGTTCTTCACCTGAAACTGTTCTTAACCTGAAGCACCACTTTAGCTAATGGGGCCTCCTGCTGCCGCCGTACTGCCGGAGCACAATTTCTGTTCTCATCCTGAAGCAAAGTTCTTAACCCAAGGTACTATTTCTGGGTTAGCGGAGTCTGTAACCTGAAGTGTCTGTAACCTGAAGCGTATGTAACCCGAGGTACCACTGTACATAGCAGGAAGCTAGTTGATGGATTCGTGATAATCGTTTGAGTTAAGCAATCCAGTCTGGCTTGTCCAGATTGGATTGTTCCTGGTAAATCCCCTTTAGTTCCCTCTTAA